CAAAATTAATTTGTCCTAAAATTCTACTTAGGACTAGTGTGAAGAATAAACCTGTGGTCAAGCTCTGTGTCTACAGGCTTATGTGTGCTTATGCTTAACATGCCCGTAGAGCATATTCCCAACTACTTGCAGACAACATCGTCAGTGAAGAGTTCCCTGGGACTCAAGCTTGACCTAAGTTTCAGCTGTAGTCTTCAAAGAATTTATCCTAATTTTCCAACCTTGGAAATTCATTAACACCAACATCTCCTTTTCTTTACGACTTTCATCAGCAAAAGTTTAGCACAGAAGAGAGTAACTACATCTTGCTGAGAAGGCGTTATTTCTCGCCTATGGTGTGACATGCACAGCCTCCATTATAACTGGTGTTATACTGGAAAATGTTGAGAAAGTATTCAGAAAACTGTATAATTTTGAATTTTTTTCAATCTGCACATTTAAAAATATTCAACATAATAAAATAAAACACTGGGTGCATCAACTTTAGATTTCTTATACTATATGATATTATTTATGAAATTTACTTTCCATGGATAATGTCACTTTACTCACACTTCAATTAGATCCAATTGAAATGTTTTAGCCAACACATGCAAAACACAGGCTAAACTGTATTATGTTGCATATATGGATTAAATCAAGATGTTACCCCTATCTCTTTCCATAAAAATCCACCATCTGCTGAATGTTTCAGTGCTAAAACTAAACATTCTCATTCCCACATGTTTGAAAACAACAGGTGTGCTGTATCTTCAAATAATGCCTTACAGGACAGAACCACAGTTAACTTCATAATTTGAGGTCTTAGCATTCTGATCAAATTCTCTTATTATCATTCAAAGGCTGCTTACTGATTTTGTTTTCAGCAATTGATTTATTTCGTGTTTTACAATACTTATGAATAACTATGTAAAGTTTCATATATGTATGTAAAACCTCACATACATACATATACACAATTGTGTATTACTATAAACACATGTTTCCAACTCCACATGTTGCCACATACATGAATAGTTTCTGACAGACCACATCAGACATTTGTATTATTATTATTATAACCTATATTTGCTACTTTTGTAAACTATCTATCTGTAGTTATAGTTCAGTAACTTGCTACCATCTGTGAGTTGGGAATTCAGCAATGTTTCATTTTTCTCACAAAATGAATAATTACTGGTGGAATTTAACTGAACAAGATTCTTTAACCAAAATTGAAGTTTCTAGAATTAATATTTGTTCCATCACTACCTTGTATATCAATACCTTTGGCTAAATACAACAGTTCGTGTAAAATGGTACACTATATCAACTTATACAAACAAAAAACTACCTATCATTGTTAAAATGAAATAAAACTAACCTCGAAAGCAAAAAAAAATGTTACTTTAGAATCACTACAGATAAGATAATCCAAAACTCTGAAAAGCTATTTTAAAACTAGGAAGAACCCTCTGAAAAACTTGTAAAACTCAGCTTCAACCTTTTCACACCGATAATTCTGACAAGTTTAAAATTATGAAATAAAAGTAATAATACCTTTCCTCTTTTTTTTATTTTATTTTTTTGAATGCATCATTTATTGCCACATCTTTAATTATCTTCACACGTTTGTTTTATTTTAATTTTATGGTTTTATTGCCTAGCATGTACAACAGAAACAGACTATTCATCCATGAAAAGCATAGAATAATTTAGCAGATTCTTGTACATCGATGAACTGTGAATGTTGGTACTCGGAACTGTAACTAAACTATGCCTTAATTTTTTCACTATATTAGTTATTCAAATAAAAGTTCATGTACCTTTCAAATACCCATTGTAGAACATAAAAATATATCAGGCACTAGAATAGAATGCACCAAAGTTATTATAATTAACTGGCTATCTAACCAAGCTTATAAAAAGATAAAAAAAACCTGTAACGGGAGTGCTTTCAAAAGGTAGTCCTTTCTTCAGTTTACCCTTGGATAAAAAAAAAGAGGTCCAGCTTTTGAAAGCATTTGGATGATAAGGTTTTTATCAATACTGTTGCGTCAGCGAGGTCACGTGACTAGTATCACGCCACGTCTTTCTAGAAATATCCTGTTCCTTCGTGAATTGTCGGGAGATTACTAGATTGGGGGTAGCCTGGTATATATATAAGACCAGCCACGAAGTGACAGGGGGTGGGTAATGAGTAATTGAACTGCAGTCAGAGAATGAGTAATTGAATGTATGCGGACAAAATGTTGTGGGCCACGTGAGACGTGAGTTATAGCGTTGTTATAGAGCGACTGTTGAAATTAAGTGTATCGTAAAGTCGTATTCGGAAAGAATAAACCAGTTTTATTTAAGAAAGGACTTGTGTCGCAAGTTTCGTCGGAACGAATTTACGGAAAATTAACTAACGAACAGAGACGTAACAGTATGTTAAAATCTTTTATCCAAACGCGCCAATATGTAGCTTGTTTGCTCGGTTATATGTAGTAGATTCAGGAACAAAATGTAGCATGTTCCTGGGAAAGGAAATTTTATATTTAATTTGTGTATTGTCAGTTTTATATGGAATAGTTTTGGTTTCCAGTGGTCCCGTTATTTTTGACGGGCTTTTACGATAGTCATTATATATTAAGATTTCTTGAACCTATGTGTTTTTCTGATATCATAACCAAGCTTATAAATACAGTATTGTCCGAAATTAGAGCCATTTCTCTAATTATCTCATAGATCAGCAATCAATCTGATAACTGATAAATGTCACAAGGGACACAATTTTCCCGCCTTTTTTCACCGTAATAGCAAACTTCAAAGACGCTTTGGCGGTGACGATGAAAGGAGGTTATCTGGTACATAGCAGGACCGCTTCACAGAATTTCTTGACAATTATAAACAATAATTACCATTATTACTGAGATATGTGAGCACTGATGTTTGTAGCAAAGTTAGAAATAAATGGGCTATGTTTGTACCACTTATCATAAATATATTTGTTTATAATATTAATAGAGGTATTATCATAAGACCCAATTAGTCTCTTATTAGCGCCCCCTTCCCATTTTGCAGTTTGCAACGCCCCGGGGGCGTTAATTAGAGGCAGTATGGTAGATTTCAAATTTGTTTTGTTACTGCTAGGGGATATGACTTTGCTCAAAAGGGCAGTTGTAATATTGATGAAAAAAAATATGCTATTCTTAGAAAATTGCCTTGAATGTTTTGAAAACAAAGGGGAGGGAGGTTGTCTATATATTGGTTTCATAAATTTATTGATATCTCAGCAAATCGAGAAAGTAAGGTTCAAATTTCATATTGCATGTTATAATGTATTGTTACGTCAGCGGAAGTCACGTGACCTGTAACACATAATGAGTATCTCGAAGGTTCGTGAATGCTCGAGTGTTTGCTAGATGGGCTGTATTCTAATATATAAGCCCGACAATCAATCGGAACGGAGATAACAGACAGAGAGATTGAAGCTATAGACTGACAATTGAGTTAAGCGCGGTAGTAAGTAAAGTGCGTGAATCGTTCGTTGAGAATTATAGCGTGTGTTGAAGTTAAAGAGACTGTGGAAATTAAGTATATTGCTAAGTTCAATTGAGAAAGAATAAACTAGTTTTATTTGAGAAAGGACTTGTATCGCTGAGGTTCTTCGGAAAGAATTTTTACGAGTAATTAACAAACGACCAGAGACGTAACAGCATAGTTTTTTTTATTGGTTCATCAAATTAAAAAAGACATAGAATCTATAAACAAACGCAAAAACATATCATAACACGGATATTAAGAAAGTAAAGCTTAGATTAATATAAAAATATGAATTATTAGCTACATTTTGATGCAAAGTTTATTGAGATTCATGGTTAATAAAGTTGTTTAGTTAAATTATGAATGCAACTTTGTAAAATATTGTGACATGCACTTTTCAAATTAACTGGACATATATAGAAAGGGTTGACAGAGGGAGAACTAGAGCTTTTATTGCTAAAAATAATAATACAAATAAAGCCAAGCTATTCACATACTACACTTCACACAAGTGGCCTAGAGCCATAGGTGTTTCACCATAGAAGTGTGAAAGTCCTAGGACATGATCTTATTTGCTGACAAAAAAAAAAAAAGACAGCTGTCGATGTCTAAATGTCATAGTGCAGTAATAGCTATCATTCCTATTAGAGAACTTGCCTAATGATCAATTAGCAGATTCTGTCTCATGTGCACCAGGGTAAGGAATGCTTAGTTGTTTACTTGAATGACTCTGATTCCAACTTGAACTGAAAGAAAAACATAAGCTTTAAAAAATGTACATAATAACTAAGAGGGATAGCTAACATTTGGTATTATCTTGTACAACACTAGCTTTCTAGCAAAAATTTACATTTAAAGAATTTGAAGCTTATACCTTCATTATGATGTTCTAAAATAACAGTATCTTTAATGAATAAATAATGAAATAGTTTTGTATTGAAAACGTTTGTTGATTTTTTATTTTGTAAAACTCTCACTTAAGGATTTATGTTTTTCAAGAGGTCTATGAATACTTGTTTCAAATCATAAAGCCTTAAGTATGAGTGGAATCTTGATTCCTCATACATGAATGTATGTATTATTTAATAGGAGTTTTGTACATACAAGTTATCTTGGGTGCAGTGATTTTTGTTTATTTTATGTATACAATGCAAATTAGATGTGAGTGTATCAGTAAATTTATGATAATTTTGATTTTCTCCTTAAGTTCATAACTGTTGATACTTCATTTTTGAAATCTCAGATAATAACATGTAGAAATTGTGTGAAGTATATTTTTGGGGAAATTAAGTTTTATCACTTACCATATTGGAAGTAAGTTTTCATGAAATTAAACTATATAAATTTAGGTCTTAGGCTTGGTAAAAGGTGCTAAGAACATTGGGCCTGTATCTTACTAAGTGATTCGTTAAATTTAGTTTGATCTTTTGTTTGTTATTGTAGATTCATTGTGAAAATAAATAATTAGATTTATTGTATATTTTTCTTTGCAGAAATTTAGATCTACCAATGGCTAGTTTGAAGGGTCCTCATCCTAAAGTTGTTGTTATTGGTGCTGGTGTTGTAGGTCTTTCCACAGCTCTTTGTATACAGGAGATTATGCCAGGAGTAGAACTTACAGTTATAGCAGATAAGTTTGAGAATGATACATTAAGTAGTGGAGCTGGTGGTCTATTTCGACCAGATGATAATATTGGACCTAGCAATAAAATTTTCAAGTAGGTGTACAGGTCTCTCTGAAAAAAATCTGAATATGAAATTTCCTCTTGTCTTTTTATATTTAAAATTTTGGACAAACTGTAGTTACAATATTGTGATGACCAAAGTTAAATAGTTTATCATATAAATAGTGTTATTATCAATTAATTCTGGATAGGGCACATGAAGATTATAAGTAAAAAAAAAGTTGTTTTGCTTTATTGATGATGTGAACATTAATTCCAGTAATTGAAAACAAAATGTTTAAAAGAAAGTACATGAATTTAAAGAATTTCTGTCTTATGCAAATGTATTAACTTTTTAGTATACCTCTGGTCACACACACACTGATTTGATATTTAAGATAACACAATCAAGAAATACTTGTTCAGCTCTTTTACAGTTTTATAATGTGTTACTAAGTCTACTACCATACAAACACTTCTGTGTCCTTGTAATGATGTATTACATTGCTGAGAATTAAAACAAAAGTGCTGTATGTTTATATCTAATACACAAAAGGTTACATGTAAAACTTATGTTGTACGTAATAAATCCTATAGCTGTAATTTTGTCATAGTTAAAATTTTTTGAATTTGAAATACAGTATATGTGCCATATTTGTGAGGAAAAAAATTATAAACCATTTATTTTTTGCATTCAAAACTTTAAATGTGGTTTTACAGCATATATCTATCCACATGTGTGTGTGTGTGTGTGTGTAATATATGTGAATATGTATATACATATATACATGCATACTTAAGTATCAGTTATAAACCTGAGTCCAGCAAGAAAAAAAAATTACAAGAAAAACCTATAAGAATTGGATGTACCATAGAATGACCTATAAAGGTGTCATTTTGCCATGTTTCTCTGAGTTATGTTTGCATATTGTTTGGTATTTACAATAAAAAGAAGTTATTGTCTTTGTAAAGATTACCACAACATAAAAGGTTGGGAACATGAACCCTGAAATTAAGCAGTAGGTGCCACATAATACAGTAGGGAGTAAACCTGACAAGCTGATCAGGTGGGAGATGGAAGGTAAAGAATTGGGCATGAAAGCCAAATGGCCTTTCCAGGCAAGAGAGGCCTAAGGGGGGAAGGACCAGTCTGGATATATGATGACAAAAGAAGAACGGTGGAGGATTTTGGTAACATCAATAACATAAATATCCGATCGAGGACGTCAGCAATCTAGGAAGAAAAGGAAAGATAATTTTCCACATACTCGATTAACCAGCTATAAAAATATGGTGTAGGGTGCGACAGACCAAAATAACAAGATGCCAGAAAAAAATTAATCCAATTTTCTTCTCCTTGATTGTAATCACCTTTAGAAACATTGTCAGGTTGAAAAGGAGAAGAAATCGCTAGACGAACTGAGGAATCTAACTCCCTGTAAAATAAGGCCTATACCTCCTCAACAGATAAGTCGAACCCGATGCCTGAGTAGTTGTACCAGAAGTGTTGTCTATCATAATGAGAACTTTCATTGTCAATACACTGAATCACGAAGTCATTATAAATTACCATATAATTCGGTAACAGTAAACAAATGCAAAAATAGTTGAAGCAATTGAATGCAAGCACAGTAAAAGAAAACTGTTGAAAAAGGTACTGAAATGTCAACGAAGTATAATTGTAAACAGTAGTCACGTTCAGAAAAAAACACACCTTTAAATGATGATGTGCCAATTGAGAAAGTGAAGATTGAGCTAGAAAATCAGAGGGAGCTAGCGGCACCAATATAGGTAGCACAATATTAGTGGTGGAGGGTGGTCACATGCTATATACATGTTCAAAAGTGGCACGAAATTTGTGGTATATACAGACTGGTGCTTCGAATATTAAAATTTTTTAGCAATGCTTAGGGGATGAAAGAAAATCGAAATAGCTTTGTATTGGTTACAGGTAAGACTGTATCAGAATATAGAAGCAGGGAAAAATAAACACAAAGAACTGCTTTACACAATGATAAAAAAAAAGATCAAAGCCTTTTGTCACAACTGCAAATTTAAAAAGTCTAATAAGAGAAAAATATATAATCTACATCATTTAAAAAATATCAACATGATCTCAGTTCAAAACATCCTAACAAATAAAGGCAAATGCAAGATATGCATGTAAGATGTAATATTTTGTAGTGTGTGAAATGGGGGGTTGTTAATATTGACTGAAATACATGACATTAAACGTAAAATTGTAATTTCACATAAACAATCATTTCTTTCTGTCTCAGTGTTCAAGCCTATAATGAGACTAAAATTCCATGGTACCAAATATTATTTGTTTGAACAATTTTCAACTTTTCAGTTCAGCTTGGTATAATGGTAGTTATCTGCTTCAGTCATGAGTTGTGATTACTTTTTGCAATAGCCTCAGAATACCTAAACTGTGTGAATGATAAATCAAAGCATCATTTTATATTGTTACGTCTCTGTTTGTTGGTTAATTTTCCGTAGAAATTCTTTCCGAAAAACTTCAGCAATACAAGTTCTTTCTTAAATAAAACTAGTTTATTCTTTCTCAATACAACTTTGCAATACACTTAAGTTCCGCAGTCAGTTTAACTTAAACAAAAGCTATAATTCACAACGAACGATTCACGGACTTTACCGCGCTTGAGTCAATTGTCCGTCTGTATCTCTGTCTGCAATTCAATGCCATTGTTGCCGTCACTTCTTACCGGTCTTATATATACAAAAAGCGTACATCTCGTCTCTTCGTGAATCTTCTAGAAACTCATCACGTGTTACCAGCGTCACGTGACTTTTGCTGTCAGAACAATATTTTTAGTTCAATGACTGATTGATTCATTTAACTTACATGCTAGAGGAGTTTAGCACAGTTATGTAGTCCTGTTATGGCACATTTTTCAATATGCAGTCCAGGTAATGTGCTGCCATCTTCAGTTCTGAAACCACTGACCACAGTGAGGCAACCAGCTGGAACAACTATTATCACTTTTTACTTTATTATTTACCACTGTTTCCTTTTTAACACTAAGTACCCAATGTAAACATGATGATTTGAATACTGTTACATTTACTACTATTACGTATGGAGTTTGACACAGTCTCTTCTCTCTCCAACAATCTACTCAAAGTCCTTCTAGTGATAATGTCCAATTCAATTTCATGTAAGTAACATCTTATGACTTTTTAAAGAACAAAGAAAATTTACTAGGTCAAACGTCATGCCGTTTCTAACTCACATACTATGTTATAAATTGTTATATATACATGACTGTTTCAAGCATTATGATTTAGATAGATTACATAGTTTAGGTGTCATACTTAGTTATTTTTAGAAACTATTGTTGCGTCAGCGAGGTCAGGTGACTAGTGTCACGCCACGTTTTCTAGAAATATCCGGACAGTTGTCAGCAGACGAGAGGCACAACTATAGAGCACTGGTAGCGGCTCTAGAACTCAGGTACGGAACCCAAACACGGG